GAAGCAACCAGGGAGCCCTCCCCTTCCCCTCCCCTCCTTACCTATTGTGTAATTTCCAAACCCAGGAGCTCTATGCCATTTGGAGTCAAGATTAAAGAGCGAACCCCTCCCCTCCCTCCCCCCACCCCTGGGTGTGATTCGGGGGGTTGATAGGTTCGTGCGATGCTGAGCACTTGATTATTGCCTGAGCACCATTTGTTGTGTGTGGTTGGAACCTGCATCGATTTACAGAACTGTTTTGTTTAATATCCCCCCTTCTACCCTGCGCATTGCTTTGCGCGCAGCAGGCGGTCGCAGGATATGTGTGGCTATTCATCCTGTAGAAAAAGCATGCCGTGTATGTTGAAAACGTACATAGGGGCAGCAGATTGGATACATATACACATCAGTAGATTCTACCTATGTATGCTATGAAGGAAAGGACAAGTAAACCAAGCGCTTGATGTACTGTACCTTACTTAGTACACACATAGCCCACCAGTTCATGCAATAGTATCTTGCAATTTAATGACTCCAAAATATGCTACTTGTCCCACCCACCGATCTACCCAGTTATCTTCCCCAGCATAACTGCAACCACACATAGCACAGGAATGATGAAGCACAGAATCAAACTTGTTGTCAAGTCCGGTGGAATGTGAACGGGTAGAATTTGCCCAAAAAACGTCACAGGCAACCTTTCCGCGGCATATCTTCCAGAATAGCCTGCATCTCCTGACATTTTGGAGCGCGGTGGAGTACAACAGTACATGCAAGCACCTATTACCATACGGACCAAGATGTTTCCTTGGAGTCAAAAACATCTTCGGCTCCTGGCATGCAGGCAAGTCCTAACTAAAACTCCTCTCCCTTTACCGCTCTTTTTGATCCTCCCCTGTCCATTCGACAGATGGCCCAGACCTGTTTCCTGATTCCCCTTTCCCCTTTCCCGTTTCCCGTTTCCTCTTCGCCTGATCGCCCATAATGTGGGTGAAGTGAATTGTCAGCCAACGGAAGGCTCGGGGTGTACAGGATATGCTTATCTTCCTCGCCGCCATTCTTGAAAATCATATATTTTCTCCCTCTGATTGAATTGGCTCTGGGGCACGGCTTTTGGAAGATTTGATTTGTGCTGGAATTGGGTGGAAGCCTTGCTGGATAGGGGCATTTGTGTTATTGACAACTGCCACTCCGTCAGGAGATTCGAGTGATCGAGGGCATTAGGTGTCTAATCTCCGACTTGCTCACCCTCGCTCTGTAAAGAACGGGGAGGGGGAGGGGGTTGTCCTGGCCGGGAGAGGAGTAGGTTTTATTCAGACGTGTACCCAATTCGCATAAGGAGACGTATTTACCCTTGCGTGTGCGTCTGCATCTGCATATGCAAGAATAGCACCTACCCCGCAAAATATGCGTATACGTACGTGCCAAACTTCATACGGTGTAAAGCTTAGGGTCGCTCTATTGGTGTTGAGCTCAGATGGGTTGTCCACATACATGGATGAACTCACACACCCAGCTTGTGCTGGCAGATATGAAGGCCTGAAACAGTCCAAGTAATCAACCACATGCCAGCCAAAATTCTTCACAAGATATAGTGCTTGATACACGGCAACTGAGCTCTATGTACAGTTCAAGGCTTTGAGAAAAAATGAAATAACATGCTGAAAGTTGTTGGGTAGGGAAATTGGATGGCTTAAATAATGAATTATGATGGGATGAAGCGTTGCTTTGATTCCAATAATGATGGCATTATTCAGAGCACCATAGAGCCCTCTCTCTTCAGGACAAACGGGAGGGCGGTGTTTTATTGTCCCACATGCACTAGGAATGGCACCACTTGAAAATATGGAGTTATTACAAGAACAGCCCATCTAAATATACAAACTCATTGCAACATGAGCTGTGGAATCAATGAATTGCCAGATGGCCAAGACAAGTCTGTGTTTTACACCCCAACTGGTCCAGTATCAGCAAAAGGGTGCAGAAGCAAAGGCAGAAGCTGAAACAATTCACTCAATTTGATCAGTCCCTTGTAACAAAATAAGCCAATTTACACATGCTCATAGTTCATGAGGGTGACTGGTGGAGCTCTGGGGATCGAGAATCCATTTCAAGATGCCAAAGGCTACCTGCTTGCTGTGGTTATCTGCTGTGAAGGGGTGTAAATGGCCCTCATGGTTTAAGCAAGAGTTGGGTGTTGTTCTGGTTGTTAGCAGGTTGCTGGCTGGAGTATGCATATCCTCTTGTATGTGAATATTGCAGCTGTGACCTTGGAGGTGATATCAGCATATATACCATGGATAAAATGGAAAAGAGGTCTAAAGAAGAGGAAAGATGAGCATACTATTGATAAACACTCCTTGTATATCAAATTGGTTGTTTACCGCCTATCCGGACTGTGCCACCCCATTTTTTCATTTGATGGTAGAAGATTGAAGTTCTCCTTTTTAGAACATAATAAATGTTTTTTTTTTTTTTTTTTTTTTTTTTTTTTTTTTTTTTTTTTTGGTCAGTTCGTGATCCTGCATGCAGCTCCATGATTCTGATGAAGATGGATTATACAAAGTAGACCAATATCAGGCTGGATGGTGCTGATGCGCAGCCTGTCAATGAGTAGGCCTTCATGCTTATAAAAGGCTCAGGGCGGCGAAAAGCCGGTTAAAGGAGAGATCTCTCATGGTAGCCTGGATCCTCAATAGAGGGAACATCCTCAAGAACTTGGGATGTAGCAATGTTCATGAGGCCAACTCAATTGGGAAACCCACGCACGCCCTTCTCTTGCGCAGTGTTCACCCTGGCGTCATGCCCGACGACATTGCTGAGCCTGTTGGTAGAAAACACACCAATCGAGATGAGGTGAAGTTTGACGCTTTTAGCTGTCAATGGGACAAAACAGGGAATACATGCTGCGGTTGGTCCCGAGGACGGATGTTGAACACTGGATACCCAGGGATAGACGGCATTTCTCCTTGATTTCTTGACATTCGGGCGGGGATAGCAGACGTCAGTGACGTAGTTGATCGCAGCTAGCGCTGTGGCGTG